TGGTCGGCTATGAAGTAGCAAAGGAATACGCGGTCAGGCATTGTACTTTAAAAATTACGCAAATTAATGTATTGGCGATATGGCTCGATACTGCATTTAAACAAAGATTTAAAACTGAAGAATATTGGGGTTAGTTAGCCGGGCTAGGCCCAGAATGTAACGAGGTCCACAATGGGAGGCAACCCGCCTAGTTTAGTTGAAGGGTCGGGGAAAAGCGAAGCAACCCTAGAGAACCTAGGGCAACCTTGTCCCCTCACGGGAGAAAAATATTAGTCCATACAACAAAGGCCCACGCACACAAACAAGGAGTACTCAAAGTTGGAACAATAACGGTCAGCACTCCTGGTTAAGCACCGAGTAATTTCGCAATACATTAATAACTTTGGACTGATCATAAAACAATGCTTAACCACGTTATAGAAAAAGGGTACAAAATGATGGGTTAAGCACAAACAAAATACAAGGTTACATTGGAGCGGCACAAGCATTGAACATAGCAAAGCATTAAAATTATAGTGATAATAATAAAAGCGAGAATAGGGGTGGTAATAGCTAAAAGAAAAGGATTAAAATAACGTAAAATACAGCTAAACGTAATAGAAAAGGGTAAATATACTCATAATAGCAATAATTATATAATAATAAGCTTAACAATTTAAAAATGCACAATATTACGTTTAGTTAATTTTACTACACATTTAAATAGATTAAATAATTAGAACTAACCTTGTAGAATACACTAATAACACTTTTAACAATGATTTTAGAACAATAATTTACTTTTACAATTTTACCAAAGGAAACGAACTGTACTGCCCCGAATTCAAACTGCTTCTGCCGCATCTCCCTTTTTCGAAAAACTTTTTCGTTTACCTCTAAGGAAATTCCTCCCCCAATCTGCATGCCAGATGTACTCTTCCTTCAGCTTAGCGCGTACCTCTCTTGTTTGTTTGGCAAATTTTCTACCTAAATCTGAAATTTTACTTGCCTTAAACATAAAGTTTTATTACTTAATCCTATTTTAAAAGTCCAAAAATAAAATTATAATAACATGTTTTCTAATAAATCTATACAGGGTGTTTCTTTTCGGAACCATTACAGACGCCCCTTTAAAAGCTTGGCAAATGACCTCGGGAGGCTTGCTGAACTTTTAACATCCCTTTTAACCTTTTAGGTTAAGTACGCTCCTGCTCACAGCTGTCCTTCGGGCTGAGTCCGTCCCTGCTCATATACATTATGACTACGTACATCATAGCTCACATTAAATCTGATCAAAACTAAATTGTTCTGAAGTATTGTCAGTCATCTACGTCCTTGCCGGCTTCATCATTATTCTAAACATGATCACCAAAGTTAAAAATAAATTTAGCATCAAACTAAAAATAAGCCTGAAAAATAATAAGACTAGGTTTTCACCTAAAACCCCTTCTTTAAGTTACACCAAAAGATGTTTAACTAGTCGTTTCAAAACCACAAACCGAAGATTTACCACAAAACTGTCTTCAAAGAAGATCCAGCTGCGCCCCAGTACTTTACTCAGCTGTCACTATAAGTGATTCAGCTGCGCCCCTACTACTTTATTCAGCTGCCACTATCAGTGATTCAGCTGCGCCCCTAGTAATTTACTTAGCTGCCACTATCAGCGATTCAGCTGCGCCCCTACTACTTTAATCAGCTGCCACTATCAGTGATTCAGCTGCGCCCAGCGATGTTTTGCAGCTAGCTTCAAAAGAAGTTTTAGCTACACTACCAAGTTGCGGGACAACGGACAACAAGGCCAAGCAGCTGGCTTCATGCAAGAAGCCACTACTACTTCCAAATAACTGACTGCTAAGAAGCATCAGCCACACTCAACGGTTCCTTGGTTTACCAATTTGGGGCCCCACGTGGGGGGGGTACAATGGCATCGAAACCGATCCCTATCACCAATTTGGCGAATACCGGGATATGTGTGGTACCGACATATGTCCAATATAAAGGTAACCGAGTTTGGGCCACATTTTAAACAACACTCGGTATATTTCGCCCCTATTCTTTAACTAAAAAAATAAAAAGATTAATCGCTGAAAGAAATATTATTTTATCTCATTTTTATATTTGAATTTTGTCACCCATTTCCTGTTTTCCTTCAAGTTGAACCTTAAGTTTTCGATGCTGCATTGTTTTATTTTATTTTCCTGTACAGATCCATTCTTTAAAGGCCCATAAGGAGTTTTTTTGTTTTACAATCAACTTTTGCTTTTCTTCTTGAATATCCTTAACTTTTGTTGAAGGTTTTGGTTTCCTCGTTAGTTTGCCTTAAATTGTTGCATAGGTTTTCCTCCGTCATAAGTTTTACCGAAAAAATATCAAATGGATTAGAATTTTATAAACAGAGTACAGTGCCGGACTTAGGAAATTCCTCGCCCCTAGACATAAACCCTAGAGACAATCCGGTACTGCAATAAACCTAGTTCTCCACAAAGTTTTTCTTTTGCAATGCATCCTGGTCACTCGCACCAAAAATGTAAAGATTTCTCTTTACCCCCAAGTTCGTTTAAAACAAGTTTTATAAAAAATTGATAAATTAAATATTTCGTGGCTTTGGCTCGTGATCGTCTTACCCAAATTTGGACCTCTACGCTGTGTTTACTTACTTGTTTTATTAGATGCATTGCTTTAAGAATGATACGTGGGAGAAATAGGTTTATAAGAAATAAAATACAGTGGCTTAATTTACCCCAATTTAATTTACGTTAACCTTTTACAAACAAGCAAGGGGTGGCTCTTAGGAGGGTTCGGCCAGGGAAAAAGAGCCTGAGAAAAAACCCTGGTCGGCTATGAAGTAGCAAAGGAATACGCGGTCAGGCATTGTACTTTAAAAATTACGCAAATTAATGTATTGGCGATATGGCTCGATACTGCATTTAAACAAAGATTTAAAACTGAAGAATATTGGGGTTAGTTAGCCGGGCTAGGCCCAGAATGTAACGAGGTCCACAATGGGAGGCAACCCGCCTAGTTTAGTTGAAGGGTCGGGGAAAAGCGAAGCAACCCTAGAGAACCTAGGGCAACCTTGTCCCCTCACGGGAGAAAAATATTAGTCCATACAACAAAGGCCCACGCACTCAAACAAGGAGTACTCAAAGTTGGAACAATAACGGTCAGCACTCCTGGTTAAGCACCGAGTAATTTCGCAATACATTAATAACTTTGGACTGATCATAAAACAATGCTTAACCACGTTATAGAAAAAGGGTACAAAATGATGGGTTAAGCACAAACAAAATACAAGGTTACATTGGAGCGGCACAAGCATTGAACATAGCAAAGCATTAAAATTATAGTGATAATAATAAAAGCGAGAATAAGGGTGGTAATAGCTAAAAGAAAAGGATTAAAATAACGTAAAATACAGCTAAACGTAATAGAAAAGGGTAAATATACTCATAATAGCAATAATTATATAATAATAAGCTTAACAATTTAAAAATGCACAATATTACGTTTAGTTAATTTTACTACACATTTAAATAGATTAAATAATTAGAACTAACCTTGTAGAATACACTAATAACACTTTTAACAATGATTTTAGAACAATAATTTACTTTTACAATTTTACCAAAGGAAACGAACTGTACTGCCCCGAATTCAAACTGCTTCTGCCGCATCTCCCTTTTTCGAAAAACTTTTTCGTTTACCTCTAAGGAAATTCCTCCCCCAATCTGCATGCCAGATGTACTCTTCCTTCAGCTTAGCGCGTACCTCTTTTGTTTGTTTGGCAAATTTTCTACCTAAATCTGAAATTTTACTTGCCTTAAACATAAAGTTTTATTACTTAATCCTATTTTAAAAGTCCAAAAATAAAATTATAATAACATGTTTTCTAATAAATCTATACAGGGTGTTTCTTTTCGGAACCATTACAGTACATTAAAAAACAAAAATTTTGGCCCATATTTGAGCCCTTGATATTAATATTAAGGTTTGCCTCAATTCATTTGTTGTTTTTCCATTTCAATAACACGGGAATATTTATTTTTTTCATTTTGAATTCTTATAACTTTGGAATGGTTTGTTTTCACAACACCCAATCGAGAGGAGTTATAGACAATTTCACGCTCTACAAAAAACATCTGAAGGTCAAAGTTCTTCAGATCAACCGTTTCAAAGATATCAGCGATCAAAAATAACACAAATAAAAAATTTCAAAAATTTTCAAATAAAATACAAAAAAATATCATCAAATTCCATATTTTTATTATTTTTTATGTAAAATCACTTTAATTCTGCTAACCTGAGACTGTAAACTTTTTTTTATTTATATAGATATAGATTTTAGTTTTTTTTGCCGAAAAAAAGAAAAATTTTGTTGAATCTTCAAAGTCCTGTAAAATCGACAAATTTAAATAAAATTGCATAAAATTTTATTGTTTTTGTATTACACGATTCTCGTTATCTAATCATTTAATACAAATCATCTTAAAGTCTGATTTATAGATTGTCTTCTTTCTTCCTTCCGCCTGACCGTAAAACATAAACAATACACAAGCTGTTGTAACATTTACAAATTGACTGCGTATAAATGCAACTACGGTTAACGTGTTATTTATATTTCACGATCGGGCGGGAAAAGGAAGAAAGGCAATCTATAAATCAGGCTTAAAGGTACAAACTGTAGTCTTATGAAGAACATAAGAAATATATATAAATAAAAAATAATTTTTGTTAGCTTTTATTTGAAATTTATTAGTGAAACAAATACCCTACAAAATTAAAACATAAAACACTTTTGAGAAAAAAATTTACTATTTTTTGCTTATTGCATAGGAAACAGTTATTTATTCGCATTCGGAATTTGTTTGCGATGCTTTTGCACACTTTGGAAAAGGGCTTGTTTTTGTTCTTCATTGACTGTATGTATTTGATTATATTCTTGGACCAAGGAAACCCCCCTTTCTGCAACATCGTTGACCACTTTTAATCCTTTAACCACATGTTTCGCATCTTGGTAGCTTTTATCGTCTTCCCATTTCCAGAAGCCACTTCGAATCTATATTCAAAATTTCAAATAACCTGATGCTTCTGGCTGAAACGAAGTGTTCTAACCTTAAATTTTCAATATCACTTTTACAAACAATTGCTTTTATTTTTCTGCTTTCGAAGGGTGTGAAATTTTCTTTAACAAAACAGTGATTTCCAGTTTTAAATACTTCAACCATCTGTTTTTTTGTTTTTTCATCTACTCTATTATCAAATAGAAAGAGAAAAATCATTTCTTCTCCTAAATACCATAGACGACCCGAAAACTTTTTGATTGCAGCTTGAGCTACTTCGGGATCAACTTTTTCATAGGACAAAAGTCTTTTTAAAAACCGCACATCGTTTTCTGGGGCACGAATTGGGAAAGGAGCTTCGAACCAGCCAAATACATAAGTGGACACGATAAAGGATGCAATCCTACCGAGAGACTTTTTTTCTACCCTTGTCAGAGCGAATTGAGTTTGAAACATAAAAAATTTTAAAACGTAAATAGCTTTCGCCATCCAACGGGCTCGGTGGAAAGCTGTTGTTGTTATGACCTGAAGAAAAATGTTCTACATTTTAAGGAATAATTGGATTTTTTATAATACCTATGAATGTCAATACTAAATCCCGCAATTCATTATAATCGTCCCCCTTCTGACTTCTTTTTAACATATTCTGAACAAATTCCAGTATTTCTGTTCCTTGCGAATCAATTACTGTTTTCGTCAAATTATCCATTTTACCATCACAAAACATCTTATGATCAAGACTTACCCAATTCTTTTGAAATCTTTGAAAAAGTTGAATATTTGGACCTGACGATGGAGGTATGCACATTGAAAAACAAGCTTCCAGTACAAGTTCGAAAATGTGGTGTCGGCAAGCAAAATAAAGCAAATCTTTCATTAACATTTTTTGCAGTAATACACACGCTCCATTTTTATTTCCGGTATTGGAAATCGAAACCCATCCCTCAAATTATTTTTTCCAAATTCCAGTTCTTGAGCGATTCAAAAACAGCAATTCCCATTTGTTTTCCGCTGGAACTGGATATTGCAGGCGCTTGAAGAAGTTGTTCCACTTTATCTGAGTTTGTGACTATGACCGGCAACCTATCTATCAATTTTCTTCCTAAAATTTCGAATATTTATAAAATTATAATTTAAAGTTATTTTTAAATTAAGTAATTTATCCGTGATAAATTATTTAATTTAAAAATATCTTTAAATTATAATTATCACAAAAATGTTGTTTACTTTTAAATTAATCCAACTTTTACCATCAACGCCATCGTCACAATTCTTAAATAAACCTAGATCATATTTAAATTTGCAAATTATGTGATGGGGTTTCTCACAGGCTCAATCCAAACAACTCTTTAATTATGTCAAAGTTTTTTTATAATTATATATAAACGTTAGAACATTTAATTGTGAGGTGGAATTGGAATATAAGTCGAATAATATGAATTATTACCTGATGGCAGATGGCATTAATTTGCTGTCCCAGTGGACTGTGAGTGGAGCCTGTATTTTGATCGATTTTTTTAATTCTTCAGCAGATTTTAAGCGATTTTTTTCACGCATGCGCCTCAGTGTTGAAAAACTAGGAGCCGAGTCATCGACGTTTTGGCCCAAGTGAATTTGCCACTGCTGCTAACATCATTGCACCTTTTCTATCGCTTGTTTTAGTTCTATCAAACATTGAAAGAACGTTCTCATCAATGCTTTTTTTCAAATTGGATCCATTTGAAGTAGAGGGATTATAGAAGCTGTAATCTTCTTCTAGGTCTGTCTTCATACTCAAGCTACTTGAAGTATTCGATGAAAGTTCAGAATCGTTTAGCTCTTCTGATTCGACAGTTGAAATACTGGAAGTAAGGATAATACAGTAAATATCACTGAAACTATGGAAAAATATATAATATAATAGTACGTATATGATTATTAATCATTCATTAAATACATGTTTTTTGTGTTTTTCTTATATTTTTCGATTTTCTGACGTCGTTCAATACGTCCAGGTTGTCCTTTTTGACGATGGATAATCAAAAACTCTTTTATTTTAGGATCTTTAATTATTTTCATGACGTTCCCATGAGCTATGTCGAATAGATCATCGAGAGTCGAAATAAACATGTTTATATTCTTGGATTCACGATATTTATTCTTCTTTAATGAGTTAAAAATATTTTTTTATTTTTTCTATTACACGATATTGCAAACATGTTGGTATCTTCGATCGTTTCCAGCAATAGACTATTTCTTCAGTTACATTTTTCGCACTTTCTTGAATGTTTTTTTTATCTTCAAAATGATGCTATCCAAACCGGAAAATTTCCGAATTTCAGATCCAACAATCCACATTCAAAATATATGACATATAGGTCATTATAAACCAGATCACCCAATCATGTTGCTCCATATTTTTTTTTGGCTCAAATTCATATCAAATATACTTTTTAGCATAATCTGCGGTTAAATTTATTTGAAGCCAACCATAATAAAGTAATCTGGTTTAAACATTAAAAATACATAAACCCCTAAATAACAGCTTTTAATTAAATAATTTTAATTTTTTTATACGGTTTATAGGTTATTAGGTAATTTAAAGCAAACTTTAAACATGGCACATTAATCTAAAAAAAAAATCCAAAAAAAAACCGAATTTAAAAAAATAAATCCTTTTTTTTAAGTTTGAGAAAAGGCTCTGAACTTATATGTTTTAATAGTATATAACAATGGAAGAGGAAAATTGTTTCATTACTAGTCGAGAGATTAGGTAGTTTATCGAGACGCGTAGACTCGAGAGAAACTATAACTATTTATAAATCTCGAGACAGTAATGAAATTTCCGTCGAGTACTGTATATTATTTTTTAAGAGTATATAATCCCTCATATCTTTTATTTTCAACCATGTTTTAGTAGGAAAAAACCTTATAATATGGTTATAATATTTATAGGTTTAATTACAAATTTCAGATCGGCAACCCGGTTTGCACCATACACATTGCCTAAAGGCAATGATTTAAAAGGTTTTATTTAATAAAACCTTTTAGTATGGTGCAAACTGGGTTGCCGATCTGAAATTTTTATTTAAACCTATTTTGATTAACTACAGTTGAAGCTATTAGTGCATGAAGGAGTTAACTCAATTTTTTTTAAGAATCGATTTTTTCCATTAATTACAAAAAACTTAACTTATAATTCTTATAAAGTATTGTTAAAATTAATGTATTAAGCAAAGAACTAATTAAAATTTGTTTTAAAAAAACTTTCAACTTCCAAATCATAAGCCTTTTGGTGATATAACAACAAATATTGAGTTAACACCTTCATGCACTAATAGCTTCAATTTTTTTGTACATAGAAAAAGGTTTTGTAAATTGGAAAATCCTAATAGTGCCTTTATTTAAGTTGAGAAAGTAAGTTTATCGATTTCAAGCAACTTAAACCTTAAAAATTAAAAGAATAAGAAAAGTGACAGTTTTGCCTGCCTAGACAGGAGAAGTAATACTTTCTCGATTTTAAAAAGGCTGCAATGTTAATATTACATACATGTTTAAAAATAAAGATTCGTTTTTGAGATTATAGTATTTATATTTATATATACATATTTTAAAAACTGATCATAATTGTTTCAATTAACTTAATTATCTGTGAGTTCTATCGATTATTAAATTTATCTGTACAAGGTCGAAAAAATATTTTGTATTAAAAAACGATTTCAATCCAACAAATATTTTGACAAAAAAGACGAAAACACTTCGTTTTTGTATACCAGACTAATCAACTTTGAACAATTTTGAAAACAAAAGCATAAATCGAGTCACGGCATTTGCCGGCAGATGGCGTTAGTTTGAATAAATTTCAAATGAGAACGAATAAAAATTGTTTTTTTTAAAGCTAAATTATTTTTTATGTTCTTTATGAGAGTACAGTTTGTAACTCTAAATCTAAGTCTAAATTATAGATTGCCTTCCTGTTTCCGCCCGCCTGTGAAACATAAACGACACGTAAGTCGTAGTTGCATTTATAGATAAACGCCGTCAATTTGTAGATGCTACAAACGGCTTGCGTATTGTTTATGTTTTACGATCAGGAGGGAGGAAGAAAGAATGCAATCTATAAATCAGGCTTTAAGATGATTAGCATTAAACGATTAGGTAACGAGAAATCTCATTAACATGGCGTAAACTATACTTTGAAGTTAAATCGTGTAATACGTAAACAATAAAATATAAATTATTTTTTAAAATACAAATAAGATAAAAGAAGTTTTTTTTTAAATAAAAAATATCTATTTGATATATCCCAACCATATTAAAGATTTTTTCTCAAAAAAAGTTTTAATTTTGTCTGATATTTAAAGAAAAAATTCATTCAGATATGTTTTGAGCACAGTTTTTACGATTGAAATACGTTCTAAGAACGCCTAAGAATAATTCCACATGCACAATACGTCGTGCGCGACAGGCGCTCAATTGTTATAAACAAAAGATTTTTCCTTGATAAAAAAAATTGAAAATTTAAAAAATGAACAATATTTTCGTAAACTATAAAGATTCACTAATATTCTGTTAAAATTTTATGCAATTTTATTTAAATTTGTCGATTTTACAGGACTTTGAAGATTCAACAAAATTTTTCTTTTTTTCGGCAAAAAAAAACTAAAATCGACTTGAGCGACCTCTAATTTTTTTTTATTTCGATTTTCCAAGTCGCATTTCTTTTTATAGAGTAAACTACCAAATGAGGGGGTGTAATCAAAAATATAAGAGAAGTCACTTTTTTTTAATCACCCTAATATATACAGTGTGGAACTCACTTATGGAATAAAATTCGTTATTCGTTGAGAAAATATTTTTATGAAAAATGCTCGGACACGTAAACTTTAGTTTTTTGTTCCATATCTTATAATTTTAAATTTGATGCCCCCACCATTTTCCCCACCGCACATAAGGCACCCTAATATTAAATAACAACCCCACTTTTTTCATCGAAAATTGATAGTGCACATTTTTTTGAGTACGACGATACCAAAAAAGTAGGGTTTAGTAACCATAATTTTCAATGCAGGGTGAATATTTAAAAATTACAAGTATGAATTTTTTATTGTTATTCTATGATTTAGTTTCTTGTGTTGTGGCTTTCGCTATTTAGATATTCATTTTTTTTCGCTTTGTTATTGTTTTTTGTTAATGCCATTTTTTGCATTGTTTAAATTTTTAATATTAATGAAACATTTTGCGCTTTACTTATTGAAGTATTTTGTTAGATCCAAGTATCAGTTAATATTTTAGTTAAAAAATGCGACACTTGACAGAAACTCTGCGAATAGAAATATTAATGATGATTGGTTACGGTGATATGTGGAGATCACAACAGCAAGTTGCAAACCTTTTTAATGGAAAATACCCAGATTTACCACCACTTTCTCAGGCAACTGTGTCTAAAATACATGCACAATTTCGTGAATATGAACACGTTAAACCAAAGTTAATATTTTATTAGCTTTTCAAGAAGATCCAACAACTTCTACGCGTCAGGTTGAACGTGAAAACGACGTTAGTCATTCGACCGTTTTAAGATGTGTAAAAGCCGAAAAAATGCATCCATATAAACTACAACACGTACAAGAATTGATTTATGGTAATTCTGATAGAAGATTACAATTTTGCGAGCAAATGCTGCATATGTTAAACAGGAATGTTGTTTCTTCTGCAGATATTCTTTTTTCTGATGAATCCAGATTTCTATTAAATGGCGAGGTAAGTAGACAAAATTGCAGGTACTGGGCAGAAGAAAATCCCCACTGGATGCGACAAAGTCATACCCAACGTCCTCAGAAAATCAACGTTTGGGCTGGTATTGTTGGTGATCATGTGGTGGGACCTATTTTCATTGAAAAT